ACATAAATCACCAACTAGCAAAAGTCTGAATAAGTTCCAAAATAATTTCTCCAGTACAAACCCCAGAAATGCTTCACTTTTAAAGCTGTTCTAATTTTATCTTGAGGTTAACCATTTGGATCTGGCACTTTTCTGGCAATCTTTCCAAAGCCAAACTGCAAAAGTTTCCCTATAAAAGTGATTAAAATACTCATGCATATTGTTGATCCTAACCTGAAGTGGATAATTCAGCATGTTCTGGTGCTTGTCATCTTTTCAACAAATGGATATTACAATGTGAACTTAAAAATTATATAATTTTTCTTCTCAAAGAAAAAAATCAGCTTTCATTGTGGACAGTGAAGAGAGTCCCAGAAGTATAAAAATAAATGCATCTCAATATTGTCTGCATAATTCAATAGTTACTCTTGATCTACACAAAAAAAGTAGGCTGCCCATAGATTTGACTCATGTCCATCATTGTCTATTACAAAGCCCATCATAGTCCCCAGGACTTTTAGATTGTGACAGACAACTAGGCCTGAGAGGAGCTTTCCTATGCAATATTGGACTTCAACAATAGCTTGAAATTAAGAGTTTCTGTAGGTGTACAGAGACAAAATTTTGAGAAAAAAATAGAACTGCTGATCAAAGAGACAGTGTTATCAGTTCTCATGGGCACTTAACCTCTCCATGACTTTGATCTGAATTAAAAATAGTACAGATCCAAAGCCAGTCCCTCTTACCCAGCTAATTTCCAATTTCCAAGTTAAGTTGAGCAGGAAAGAGTTACTAGAGTTACTGTCTTGCTTTTTACATTTTGGTTTTATTTCATGAAAAACATTGAACAATCAAATTCTGGTCCTAGAACAGAACAGGTGACCAGCTGTACTCTCAACCCTTTATCAGGCTGGGAAAATCATTGTATTAAAACCAGAAGCTGTAAGATAGTTAGATCTTTTTGCATTGAAAGGCACAACTATTAAGGAGGAGGTAAAAGTCTCTCCTAACTTAAAGAACAGTTCTGTTGTCTGCAGGCTTGTGCTCTGAACATGTTTTTTTCTTTAAAAATTATTCAGAAGAAAGCACAGCTCTGCATGGATGATCTAAATCAAACTGAACCTTTTCTCTCAGATTTTTGCAATGATAGATTTCCAAAAAGCATGTTGTTTACAAGTCACAAACAGTACAAAATGTTCTGTCATAACTGAATCATTCATGTGATTACTACTCTAAGTAAGCAAAAACAAAAAGGTTTTGTTTGTTCTGCTGTGAAACAACTGCAGGTCATAGCTCTGACTTGGATAAGAACAAGAGAAAGAATTTTTGACTTTGGGAGTGCTTCTACTTCACCTTGCAGCCCAGCATCTGCCCAAGGGATGTCAGTCCAGTAAAGGCTACTATAGAAACTGCTGGCACTGTTCACATCAGAAATGCTGTAAAACTCATGTAGTTAACAGGAATTAGTTAAGTGGCATTTACAAATTAAAACACAGAATAAAGAAATGATGTGCACTGCTATGGTATCCTTCTTTTTAATAGTCAGAACAGGTTTGCCTCAAAAGCTGCCGAAGACATCCATTTAACTCCCATTTACCAGATTAGGAAATTGAAGAATGAGTTTTCTCTTAGTCATAAATGAAAAATCACAGTCAAATCAGGAAGAAAACACAGGTCCCATGCTACAGTGAGGAATCCATTCCTCTCCCCTAGCTAGGAACTTAATTTACACATTAGTTTTGCTGTAATATTTTAATAAACAAGAAACCAGATTCAGGTAAAGCCACAACAAGGTGCTTACACAATCTCTTATGACAGAATTTGGCTCCTTAAGTCAGCTTTTGCTCATGTAAGCTACAGAATCAGGAATCAAGATCTTCCCAGCCTTTGGGATTGATGCTGTCCTTCAGGGTGATGTAACTCTTAACTGTGCCACATTCATTAACTGTTCATTAAATGTTCCTCCTGTCACCACACACCTATAGACCACTCAGACACAGACAGTTTGTCTTTTTTCCTTGAGAGAATAAATTGAGCTCATACAAAACATAAGTCTAATTCCAAAGATCTCCTCAAAGTGTCTCCCACATCCATTTTGCTGTACTTCGATTAAAGCAAGTGTATTACTATCATTTTTGATAAAGAAGAAAAAAGATTATACAACCATACCTTAAACATTGCAGTTCCAGTTTTAGACAGGCTTTTACCCACCTGCCATTATTCTCAGAAGATCAGGGATAATGTTACTAGACCTGACAGTAAAGGGCAGTATGATCTGGCCAGTTAGCATGTAAATATTTACAGCTAATCCGATTTGATTGGAAAAAGACTGAGGAATGCATTTAAATCAAAGTCCTATTTTTATTTTTTTTAATTCCACTACATGTTGTAAAAAATTTTGCAAAAGTACCTGAAACAAGCAAGCAAAAGATACACTTTTTTGTTTCCTAGAATTCATTTTGACTCTCGAATTTTCTGTACAAAATACACAGAACCATAAAAATGCATCAGAGAAAGACAAAGAACTGATCTTTACATCATCATACACATCTTGGTATGTTTATGGTATTGTGTTTAGTATTTCTACTGGGCTATCTGCGCTCTGATACTAAATAAAGCTCTCCCCATCTATTCATTTCATAACTGAGCATTCCTCTACCCAGACAGGATGTTTGGGAGTATTTTGAGACAACGACTGCCAAGAATTATCACAAACTGCCTAAGCAGAACGTGCATGGGGGAGGGTGAAGCGGATTTTGTGAAACAAGTTGCAAAAGCAGCAATGTCCTACCTGTGCCCAGTTGCTGAAGACCTGCCCATTTCCTCCATAAGTGACAAGCTCCTGAGGAAACTGAAAAAGGCAATTTAACAGTAGTAAGGCAAACACTTTTCTGAAAGGTTTCACTGTATCGCTGAGTTATTTTTTAATCTCAGTAATAAATGTTTTCTAGAGCTTATTGCATCAACACTCTCTGGATTCTTGAAATCAGAAAATACCAACATAAAAGTGCTAACTTCAGAAAAAAAATTAAAATTCTTTTTCAAAATAAGATTATTTTTATTGTTACAATGGTATTTTGGATGCAGAATTCTACAAAGTGATTCCTGGATTGCAGTTTCTGTAACAGACAGACAACTCAGTAAAATCACTTAAAGATGGACTGAGTGAGTTTACAGTTTGGTTGCCACTGGCATTTACAGCTGGAAGAGTCTACGACCAGCAGGGCATAGTTGCATGGCCTCTCCCCTGTCATTTGCAAGAAGATGCATTACCCAGGGTAGTGCTTGTAAGGATGGACTTTGGTCCTGTAATCCTCTAGTACATCTGTCCTTGAGGGATGAGCTTTCAAAGGTACAGGAAGCATCAGCACTAATTTTTCAACATACATTGTAGAAATAAGGTTGAAGAGTTGACCTCTACCTATCTCACAGACAGCAACCAAGCTCTAGTATATAGTGGGAGCTGGAGTGAACCTCGGTGGTGTTGTAGGAGGCCTCAGAGGTCTGCGTTAGGACCAGGACCCACTGTGCAGAATCAAGAACTGCACACAGCAGGAAACTAAAGGAATTAATACAAAAGATGGCAAACCCCAGGAATCAAAACATAACCAGAGGAAAAGTATAGAAACACTTTTAGTCCCTTGCAGGCTTGGACATTGTCACATTGTCACATATAATGTCACAGAAATGGACATTATAGCACATCACTGTAAGGAGGCTACCTTGGCACTGCTGAGATTGGCCTGCTTTGCTAACAGACAGCAGACAGCTCTGCACGTACAGGGGCTGGCAGGTACCTTGGGGCATAGAACCAGCAAAAGGCTTGCTAACAACTCAAATTCTATTCAATCTATGGAAGGAGGATCATCTGCACAAAGATTAATTTCACCTATATGCCTAAATTCTTCAGTTTTTATGCGAGAGCACATACAGTTGCAGATTTGCTGCTGCTCTAGGAATCCTTTTATTTACACTGTACCTTACCTGAGCCACGGAGGGATCCAGATTATTCATGATCATCAACATAATGGCAGCAGCTGATTTGGTCTTGCAAGGATAGTCTCCTATGGGGTACGCTCTGAAACAGTAGTCACAAAAATTTAGGAGAGACACTCCAACTCACAAGGGCAACCACAACAACATACCCGAACAGAAATATCCCTGCATGCCAACACATTCCTTTCAGTTGCAGGGTAATAACCAGGAAGGAAGGAAAAAAAAAAGAAGAAAAAAAAAGAAGAAAAAAAAAGAAGAAAGTGCAGATCTGAAATGACACATGTACCTTAACAGGCAAATCAGATTTTAACTCTTACTAGAACAAAGCAAAGAAAAAAATTGTATTCATCTTATAATTTGCTGAATCAATCACAATTGGTTATAAATATGGTGGCCAAGAGCTCCCATTGCTTTTTAACTGGATTATTTTGGGGATTCTGGAACTGGCCTCTGTAGCAGTTGCCAGGCCAAGCAGCTAAGTCCTGCAACACCAAAGAAAACAGCATCAGTAGAAGTTGCCTTTAGGCTCATCTGTCCTTGTTAAATTTAAGATCTTACCTAATAAAAAACATCCAGCTTGAATTTCAGTCCTAAAGAATCTCTCAAAAACTGAGCTAGTTAGGAGAAATATGGGCCTTTTTGCTGAATAAGATGCATTTCATCCAGAAAGCTGAGAGTTGAAGTATGGGAAATGCTTATAAAGGTATCCCAAGTCAGGTTTCCCAGAACTAATGTGCTTCAATGCCAATTGCTGTGATCATCTCACCATTGTCTTCTTCCTCCACCATCTGTTTGTCATATCAAATATCTCTAAAACATCTAGATTTATACTGTAGCTCTTCAGGGCAGGGACAGTTTCTTTGCTGTGTTTGCACATGTCTTAATACAATTGTGCCGAAGCCTCTAATATATGATATCAAAAGGAAATATAACCACCTCTCTACCTTTCTGTAAGCAACAACACCATTACAGATGCTGGAAATTCCTGAAGGTAGATAGAATAATTTGACATTGCTTCTAAGTGATCTTCCTTTTATTGGACAATAGATCTTCAGTGGCTGGAGACTTGCTTTGTACAGGGAAGACAGTTACACTGAAAAGGTTAGGCTAAAGAGTGCCAGCTACAAAAAAACCCCTGAACATCCACTGACCAGCTCATGAGCCAAAATCTGGAATGTATATTCTACAGATGTAGTGAATGGGCTCCTCCCATGATCATATGCACTTTATCCCAGCTTTGACATCAGAATACTAAAAGAAATGCCTTGTAGTCATTGCCAAACCAGAAGGGAAAACATTTGAGTTTTTCCACAATACTTTTTTATTACCATTTTCTGCTTTTCCAGGTTTGACATGATAAAATAACAGGATTTCTGTGGAATGATATAAATTCATCAAGAGGAGGTATTTCCACATATTGCTCAGAACATAAGAAACCCAAAGTTCAGATATCAGCTGAGGATGGGAACACTGGTGTTAAATGGAACAGAACCAAGTTGGACTGTGCTCACTGGGACATACAGAACAAAGAAATTAAATACTATCAGAATAAAGAGAACAAAAAGCATTTTCTAAATCTGAGACTGCAAGAGTCTATTAGAACGACTGATCAGTGAAATGGTGACAAAGGAAAAAAAATGTTTGAAGCTATCAAAGAGTCACCAATGCCAGTGATGGAAACAAGCTGGTGGACTGTCCCATCTAAGCCTGAGTGGAAAGTATCCTCATCCGTAGTTCAAAACTAAGGTCCTCTGAAGTCCAGCTCTGCAATATCTTTCACATAGTCTTCCAGTTGTCTTCCCCTTTTCTGAATTCTGCAAGAGCTGACTCCAGACTAGTATGAACAGCACAGAAATATGGACGTCTCTGGAAATCAGAGTGCTTTCTAGTGAATTGCTTTATTCGGATTTCTGTGTAGATATTAACCAGGCCTCTGCTGGATGCAAAAAGGAATCAATCAGTTTAAAAAAAAAAAAAAAAAAAAAAAGCAGCTAGCCCCTGGCAGCCCTCTCTAAAACTGTTCTGCTTCACAAACATTAGCCCCATCAGCCCTAGAATGAAGTGATGCTCCAAGATCAACAGGCACAGCATATTACAAACCAGGGTCAGACACAGGTTCCAGTGATGGAAAAGTACTGTACTGTCTTTCTTTTCAGCTCAGAAAGCCTTCTCTGTGAGAATGGGAAACAAGCAGCCACTCATAGCAGATCCCAAGCCATCCACTCATCTGATCTTACTTCTTAGTTCAATTGAGACTTGGCTTGCAGCAGCTCAGGACTATTGCAAGTTTTCTGTCCAGGTTGCAATCAGAGGTCTCTGAGTAATGACTGGCCCCTAGAAATTAAGACTGGCCATGGGGTAGAGCATTTGGGATCTCTGTGTATGGCCAAGCTGGCATTACCAAGCACACAACCTTGCACAACCCTTTCCCTGTGTTCAGTGGTGCTGAGCTTTCCAGCATTGAGACTGTGGTGACCCTACCACAGCCTATCCAGAAAAGTGGTAAAGTAGGACACAGCAATGCCACTATTTAAAGGTCAGGTCCAGAGGTGAAAATTGGTAAGCAAATGGCAGTCAAATGCCACGTGAACCATCCAGTCCTTACCTCATCTCAATATCTGGAAAGAATCTGTACATATAAATATGGCCGTACAGCCTGAGTTCTTCAGCAAATTCCAGTGCCAGCTTCTTTTGTATTTCAGGTGGGAAATAACGCAAGGCATTGCGCAAAGCCAGCTGCCAAAAAAACCCAAGAGAGACAAAAATTGAGGTAAAAGACAAACAGAGGTAATGGGTGGCCCTGAACTTTCACCAGGCTCTGTTGGAAGCCTGCCTAAGCTATCAGAAGGATGATATAATTTAAAAGACCAAGCTCACACCGGGGAAGCTCCATTCTTGCTTTCCTATTGAAGTATTTCCACCTACATCTTGTCTTGTAGATTCAGTTGCTGAACACAAGTAGTCCTCCCCTTTTCACCCACACCCATCCCTCAAAATCTGCATGGACAGACCTTGGAGATTAGTTAAGTAGTGCTCAATCCTACCAATATCAGATGAATTCCCTCTCACAATACTAGGGACCACTGAAATCCTTAAACTGAGACCCTGAACTCCTAGAGACACTGAAGACCCTACTGTACTTTCTACTCAAGAAAGGGATCTAAGTCCCAAGTTACATGACATACTCCCAGATGAAGATATTCTTGGGTTAAGTTTTATTAAAGATTCACTAAATTTAGCATCCTAATGTATTGCAGAGAGTGGTGGTTTACATTATTTTATTGATGCTACATGTATCGCTTCCAAATTAGCTGAAGTGATTATTAGGCACTCAATTTAATTTAATGATACTACGTGGCTTAAACTCCCTATTGCCTTCAAAGACATTACCCGTGGCTGGCAAAGTACAGTATGTCCTTTTGGATGAAAGAAACCATAAATAAATCACTATCTTTAGTAACAGTCTGTTAAGTCATGTCTCTGTATTCCACATTATGATTAAAACCATAATGACAATAAAGATTTTGTAATCTTTAAAAAGCCAATTTCATGCAAAGATACTAAAAGAAGTTGTGAGTTCCCTGACAAATGGTGACACTATCCAAATTACTTTTAGGTGAGAGATTCATAAATCATATGTAATTTCATATCTTTAGGCTGATTTTTAACAGCTGTGGAAAGGATAGAAAAGCATCAAGTTTGCTTTCAAATCTGATAACAGTCTACAAAACAACCAGGAAAGCACAGTTTTGTAGATGGCTGAGTACAGCAAAGATTCTCCATATTTCTGACACCTGCCATTGACAGTTCAAAGAGTTATGAACCAAGTATTTTCTGGAGGAAGTGAAGGGGTACACTGTAGCATAGGAAACGGATATCTAGAACAAAACCACCTAGAACCATGCAGTCTAGGTATCATCACCATCCACCCTGGTAAGAAGTCCTGAAAAGTTCTATAAAGCCCTTAGCTCAGTAATAAACCTCCTCGTTCAACATGACTATGGTCTGGCTCTTAGGGCTAGTGCTCTCCAGCCCCTTCATCTCAGCACATTGGTCTCACATAACTTAGAGCAGACTGAAAGAACAATCTCTCTAGATCTAAAAATGCCTAAGAGTTCTTGTTGGCATACTTGCTACTGAACAGGCATATGGGTCAGACCCTTTCAGATCAGTAAAGTTGCATTGATTTACACCAGCTGAGAATGCGGCCAGTAAAACCCAACTAATTAGATCTGCCATTCCACACAGAGAATGATAAGGGGAAAAACTTATTTACCAGATGAGCAAGCAAATTCCATCTTCAAATACCACATTATTCTTCTCCAGTTAGATAAACAGACATTTTTCAAGGGCATGTTATTAATAAACACAAAAATCACAGCTATATCCACACCATGACAAAATACGTGGGGATTTTCAAAGCCAACCTCAGAGGCAAGTGCCCATCACAGTACATTCCAGATCAGAGAAATTTCCAAAGAATAAAATCACCTGCACCCCTTGCAACAACAAAATCAAGAGGAAAATATTGCCAAATTCGGCTGCCTATGTAAGCTACAGAGAACTACCAGGAAGAGTATTTTGCTCCCAGTCTGGCAATGATCACCCAGTCTTTGATCAATATGTTATTTGTATTACAATAAAAATGATGCACATGTATTTTTAATTTGTCCTAAAAATACAAGCAAGTAAAATCTGTTTGGATTTTCAAATAAATTCACTTAGACTGAGCCTCTATCCTATTAATGTTACACATTAGCAGAAGTCTGAATTTTGATGATACAAACATTAAGGAAATATGAACTTAGATGTTAAGTGAAGGGTGGGAAGGACACCTTGGTTGCACAGACGATAGAGAACTGATCTTATAAGAGGACTAGGACTGTGGCTTGTTTAGCTTAACTGAAGAAAGGTGACATTTGATTGCTGTCTCACTGCAGGATAAATGTCAAAGCAGAAGAAGCTCCAGGGAAATGCTGGAAGAGGAATAAATAGCTGTGAATTAGCCATAAAAAAAAATGTAGTCTTGAAATGAGAAGAATTTAAATATAAGATATTCTGAAACAATCTCTCAATAGGACCATTGGGGCTCTTAAAATTGCTTAGATGGAGCCTGACTGCTTTATGAAAGGGCAATTGCAATGTGCATGAGGGATAATTTTGCATATTCATTATTCAGCCATAAACTGAACCACCTGAGAAAGGAGCAAATTCAAATAGGCTGATCATCATGCTTTTGTGGAAAAGCAATACAAGGATATTATTCCTTACCTTTAATTAAAGCATCATATAAAACATTATTCTGACCTTTATGTGGGATTGATTTTACCTATAACTGACATATTGCATTCTGAATATTAGACATTGTTCGTGGCTTCCACTGATAGAAGCTTAAGCTGCATGTGCTCTGGTGTCTTAAAATAAGAAAATCAATTGCACTTATACACCTGAACATGAGAAATAATTCTGAAAAACCCACTGTGAATTTGCTGAACTACTGATTCAGTTCAGGTCAGTGCAACACAAGCATCAGTCTTAGATCTGCCAGGTGGATCTAACATTTGATTCTCGTGTTTAAGCTCTAGTCACTAGTAGGGTGTCTTTGTATTCACTGGCATTTATACAGTAAAACATGATCCTGCTGCCATTTAATCAATATTCAGACCTTTCAATGTCAACAAAACATAGTCAAAAGAACCCATGAAATCCTGCTCCAATGTTAATATCTTTGTTGTGGGATTCTCTTGAGAAATCAAGTATACCAGCCTCTTTGTTAATTAGTGTTTGTTGAAGAGCCAGTGCCTCTTCAGAAAGAATGGTATTCACTTCCCTTTTCTAACAAGATCATCAGTACTTCCAATTTAATGATCTTGAGACATTCAAACACTAATTTGCAGTCTCCCTGGGGAAGGGACTAGCTTAACTCTGCAACAGTTTACTTCTTAATTCTGCCCTTTCCCAGTGGAAATGTTGCTCACCTCCCACCTGCCATCTTCTGCCTGATAATATCCAGGCCCAGAATCTTTGGTGGCACTATTCTCTAAACAGCAACTGTAAAAGCAAGATTGTTTTTCATGTATTAGTCTTCCTGACAGGTCCCAGTTTAGACCAGCTTAGTTGGGAAGTAAACATGGTGATTTCTGACTGGCCATTGCTACAAATGCCCCATGACTGTGAAAGTTTAACCAAGTTCTTTATCATCCAGATGGTCCAAAACAGGAGCCAGCAGGTTGTCCTCAATCCACACATAAACTTTTAAAAGTGGTCTAATTTCTGGATGTGTAAAGCAACAATTAAGATCAAATGTCCTGCTTCTTCTCCAGAAAGTTCAACAAGAGCTTCAGGTGCTATGCAACTTCACAGGCACTGGTTTTAAGCTCTTTGTACTAGGATCTCATGAAGCAGCTTCTCCCTAAGGAGTCAAGCAGAGAAACACAACCAATAGGACAGGCACCTCACCAGCCAGGGTCCAGCCTCATAGTACCTGAGGGAGGTGAGCAGGGCAGCTCAGGGATGGTAGCCAGGTTCCACCAGGAGTCCAGATCATCAGGCAAGATCACAGCAAATGCAAGTCAGGATCAGGTTTGGTGATGGTTACCACAGAGAGATAGAGCCCCAAAATCACAAGGAAGGTTTGTAGTGGCAAGTCAGCTCACAGGTTGGAAACCAGATCAATGAGGTCTACAGCTGAGCACAGGGACATGGTGAGACAGAACCAGAAACATACTCATCTCCAACATAAACAAGACTGAAGCCCCAACCCTGAGCTTAAATGGAGACTGTGGTATTTCTGGAGGCTCAGAGGCTGCGGGCAGAGGTGTGGGTGGAGATCTCAGGAGAGGCTCATCAGGTTCATTAGGGCCCATTAGTGCCCTCAGGGCTCTCTTACAGAAACACAAATGATGCTGCAATCAGGTAACAGATGATCATGCTGGGGTACCAGGAAGGCTGTAACATGACTTGGCTCTAAGATAAGTAAGGGAACTGCTGCATGGATGAAGGTGTATCGGGTTTTTTTCTGATTCTGAGCAACACTGAGAAGTGCACATTCTTCCCAAGTTGCACCAGCTTTACTGGAATGTCAATGAGTATTGAGCATGCAACATTCTTGTTCTGCAAAGAACACACCATGCAAAAGATTTTAGGGGCTGTAACATGACTTGGCTCTAAGATAAGTAAGGGAACTGCTGCATGGATGAAGGTGTATCGGGTTTTTTTCTGATTCTGAGCAACACTGAGAAGTGCACATTCTTCCCAAGTTGCACCAGCTTTACTGGAATGTCAATGAGTATTGAGCATGCAACATTCTTGTTCTGCAAAGAACACACCATGCAAAAGATTTTAGGTAATTTCTTTTTAGTGTATTTACATTAAGATACAGATGCTGAGAAACAGAAAGCTCGAGTTTCCTGAGCTGTGGAGGTAAAGAGAGAGGATGTGGCTGTTTCAGGCCTTAGGCAAAGAATGCCAAAGGAAGAGCACTTAGGAAACATATAAACAGAATCAGTTCTGAGAAATGTCTTGATTTATCCAAGAAGATTAAAGTTGGTATGATAGGAAAAAAATACATACCTCTACAGCAAGCCCCAAAATACACAGAACTTTATAAATCTCACTTACAGGATTTCTATTATAACCACAAATAAAAAAAGAAAATAAAACATTGGCAGCACTAAGGTTTATTATGGTATAAAGGGCTAAAACTGGAATGAAGGCATATGAAGAGAAGGACAAATCCTGAGGAACTTAGCAGAGCATTGTTAACTTCATTTCTGTCAAAACTTCCCCTGAGTACCTCAGTTAGAAAAGGAACACAGTGCTATACGTAAAGAACAAGCCTTGCAATATGCTCAGCATTATATGCTGCCAACAAAATCTGGAAGCCTATCTCAAAACTTAAAACTACCTTGTAGACAGACAACCTTTTCTATAGTTGTCTGTCTACATGCTTTTCTAAGCATAGAACACCTCTTTAAAAAAAAATTGACCTTTCAGATATAAAATAAATACCGTCTGAGCCTATAACTCTGTTAAGAGTTTACGGTGGAGATTAAGAGTAAAATAAATCAAAAAGGAAGCTCTTAAAACTTTACACAGTCTAATAATTAAACACCCAGCTAGCATGACCTCTTATCACATGTGACAGATAAGAAGGAGAGATGAGGGTAGGATGCCAGACAGTAGACTGGGACCAGAAAATCAGTCTACTGCCATCTCCCTGCAACACTTAAAGACAGGAAACTATCCCAGTTTCTATATAGGGAGTGAGGACTTTGTCATTACCATTCTCTCCCAGCTACAGAGTAAGGTTTGGCATCTTTTTGAAAGAGACCATCTCCTCTCCTGCAACATGGACTCCTTCATGCTATAGCAGGCTACTCCTGGGGAAAAGTGATTTAGCAAAGGCAAGGAATAAAATGGAGATTATTGGCAATGTTCTGCCCTGCAGTGAAGCTCACTCCCCACTTATCTCACAGCCATCACCACAGCCCCTTTCTCCACATTTAGTAGCCACACTTCCACATGTCTGAGCTGTCTCAGGCACAGACAGGGTGCCTCAGCCATGAATGCTCCTGACATTGGAGTATATCCTCTTTGGATATCTCACAGCTGTTCCTCTTTCTATCCTTTGACTAGGCTCTGCTCTGCTTGTAGAAGTGTAGTTTGAAAGAATTTGGCTGCCGATGCCAGTGGGGAACTCCCACAAAGGCAAGGAAGTTGTATGCAACTTGTTAGTGGGTTAGGACTTCTGCGTTCTGACCAGAATGTCACATAATAAGTAATATTACATGTGATGAAACACAGACTTTCAAACTAAGGAACTCACCTTTTCCTCTCCCACTCAAATCCCTAAGGATCTCCACCCATTGACCATTGTTTTCTGCTGATGATTTTTTTTTAAATCTCTAACATGAAATAAGGCGATGATTACTTTAGCGTATGCATAGACTATTCAAACAAAAAGAGACAGGAAAAGAATTACACAATTAAAGACAAATAATTAACTCTACTCCCCACAAACTTGCCTAAATTCCAGGACACTCAGACTACTGGTTAAAATAAATTATCTGTGGATCTTTTATGCTAATATACAGATGTGTAGCTTGAACCCTGATGCTGATTCCCTACATTTTATATTTATCGTATTCAATAATTTCACTCCCATAGATATAGAGTGTTTTTGCAACAGCATTCATAATTTCATGTCCAAAGAACAATGCTGGATTGACAGCACTGAAGTCTCATGGCTCTTGTTTAGCCAGTTAAAGTCATGGAAGGTGTTGTGCAGCAAATCTCCCTCATATCAATCTGCTTATCTCTGGGGGAGGAAGAAAGAAGGCAAGCAGAAGCATTTCCAATACTTTGTCCCATTACCCACTGAAATTATAACACCAAGGAAATACATTTACCACAAAGTTAGGCACATACTCAGAAAAGCATTTGAGACAATCAGGTCTGCTGTTCCATGCTGCATTTATCTGAAAGGAGGAGAAGTGAGGCCCTGTCAAGCCCCATGTTACCTTTTTCTCCTGAGCAGTGAGATTAGGGGTTCTCACGGGTGCATGGGGGATCCCTTTCCTCCGACCTCTGTTTTCAGGCAAAGGGTATAGAGGAAGGCCACGACAGATTTGCTGCAGGCTGGTCATAGCTACCAAGCAAATATGAGGAGGCAAGGCAAGGCAAACCAGAGAGGTATGGGGAACAAAGGATGCAGGCAAGCAAGATGCTAAGAGATCGAGATGTACCACCACTCTGGGGTGATTGTGAAGAGGACAGCCTGTCCTCTGGCTTTTGCAAACAGGCCCATCAAGCAGAGAGGGCAGGCGGCACAGGTGACACACCTCCCCCCTCTGTGCCATGCCATTGGCTCTTCCTTCCTCCCCCAAAATGAATGATTCACGGTTCTGCTGTTGATTGGGTGCTTTGTCAGCTGGTGCTGTGCTAAGCCACTAGAGCAAACTCAGTCACTTTCCAAATCATCTGATTCCCCCACTGTCCTAGTGAGAGTCATGGTCTGAGGGTCATGGTCTGGAGCATGAACCTTGCCTGAGATCTCAAGGACTGTGCATTTACCTTTCCATAGTTTAGGAACTGACTAAAGTTAATCATTATTATTCACATCACTGTTCATACACACTCTTCATTCTCTGTTTGACACCTCTAGGTATGGGCTGTTCCTCAGATCTCATCAATTTGTCTTCTAGAAAACAGCAGTTATCAATGGTAACAGCAAAATATCCTCCCTTAGGTGTTAGCTCCTCTTAGCTCACAGGCATGAGTGGATTTTAGTAGTACTAAACTGGAACTGTGCTCATTAGCACTGGTAGTGGTTTTCACAAGACAGGCAATAATTAGGAGGAATAATTAAGGCTTTCAGTTCTAAGTCACTTTTATACCCTACAGTCAACAACAACTAGAAAGTCGTATGGTACTGCCATCCAAACACTGCAAGTAAATAAATATACTTAACTTTGACTTTCCACTTACAGTGCGACATGAACTTTGCTCTCCATTTTGAGTTGTTGTTTAAATTGTACAGAACCTTCTTGACCTTTATTACATCCATGGAACCACAACTCCTGGCCAGAGAATTTTCTCAAGTGCCACAGTTTAAGCCTGGTGAAATTAATTGGGAGAAACATAACAGTCAGGAATGAGCCTAAAACCTAGGAATAAAAAAATACTGCATTTTCCCACAAAGGCAGCAATCAACAAGCGGTGACAACAAAGCACAATTATTAAATGACAGCATCTCATTAATGTCACATTGGCTTTAGCTCTAGGACATACTTCACATCCCCAGCTCCCACTGAAGTGCTTGAGTTGAAAGAACTCAGGACATCCCAGGGGAGCTGAGCACACAGCAGACAAACCCTCTGAAGGATACTGTCATTTATGTCAGGAGAATTTCATTTTGTAATTATACAGTATTTTAGCTGTTTTCAAACAAAAGGTAAAGACAAAAAGGAGAGGGAAAAGCCTCCTTCATATTTTAATTTTTTTAATTGGGTTTTCTCATTAAAACATACAGAACAGGAAGATAAGGGTAAAGTCAGAAAATCCTACCCCAAAAACTAGCTAAATAAACCCTGCCTTACATAAGCACACCAAAGGGAAATAAATCTTCCCTTATTCTTCTTTGTATGACCCACATTCCCCAAATCCCTCTAAGGCCTGATCCTGCACACACAGGGGCACAAGAATAACCTTGTCTACATTTGGACTCCCATCACACCTGCTTCATCAAGCGACATCAAGCAGAAATTAATGGTGTTAGACTGCTGTGAAAGCTGAAGAAAGAGAATGAAGCTGGGTGGAGGGAACTCACTCTCTGAATTAAAATTATTTCTAGGGCTGAGCACTTTCACTCCCTGATCGCTAAATGCTGGAGCCTCTCTGGGTCCCTGGGAGCTTTGTGTGTTGGAGTTACCTGAGCAAATCAGTCTTCAGGATCATGCTCATTGTTGGCTGGGGCAGGCAGGTGTGTCAGAGATGCTAGAGCAGACACCCCAGCTTCTCTAGGAGGTCACAAGTCCCATCACTGCTTGGCTTGTCCCAGCTTACATCTGTGACTATGGAAATGTGGTGGTTTCACTTGGCTGGCACTCGGCTGGCAGCCAAACACAGCTGCTCACTCACTCTCCTGCCCCGGGGATAGGGGACAGAATTAGGGGCAAGGCTAAGGACACTTGTAGGTTGAGATAAGAACAATTTAATAACTGAAATAAAATAAAACTTAAAATAATACTGATGTCAAAATAATAATTATTATAATAGCAATAAAATATGTATGAGTGATACCCAGTGCAATTGCTCACCACTTGCTGACCAAGCCCGGCCCATTACCGGATAACGATCCTGGAGGAGTGACAATCCCGAATGGAAACCTCAATCCCAAAGAGCAATAAAAGCCAGAGAGAGACAAAAGAGGAAGAGCTCCTCATTAATATACTGACTACAGTGGGATATGAGATGGAATATCCCATTGGCTTATCCAAATACCAATTTAGCTTATTAATTTAAATATTCCTCGCCCCCTTAGATCTTGTGCTTGTAGACTAACAGACCACAAAGTCCTTATCTTCCAGTGACAAAAATGCAAAGACTGGTATGTTCTCAAGGTTTCTCTCATGACAAATCCCAGTTGAACCCAAACCCCAGCGCTGTCCTAGCGACTAAAAAGAAACCAGCTCTGTCCCAGCTGAAGCCAGGACAGGAAAGAGCCCCGGTGCGTGTGTCTGTTTGTCCAGCGTGTGATCCACCCCTCACCCAAACCCCAAAGCCGCCTCGCTCTGCCCAGGCCCCGGGGCTGCCCCGCGGGTGCTGTGCGGGGCTGTGGTGTGCGGGGCTATGTGTGTG